AGACTTTTCAATGCAAACCCTCAAGGCAAGAAGAGCTGGGAGTGATGTGTTTCAAGCCCTAAAGGAAAACAGCCTCCACAGATTGATGTACCCTGCAAAACTATAATTCAAAATTAATGGAGATAATAAGATACTTTCATGACAAAGAGCACCTTAGGAACTTCATGAATACCAAACCAGCACTCCAAAAACTTTTAGAATTTTAGAATTTTGAATTTTAGAATTTTAGAATCCTAGGAAAAGACAATAAGAATAACCCCAGGAATTCCAACAGAATGAATCCATCAGGCACAACAAGAAATCAGATGCAAGGGGCCAGGGATTTAGCTCAGTGGTTTCACCGCCTGCTGTGCAAGAGCAAGGACCCGAGTTCAATCCCCAGTACAAAAAAAATTTTTTTTAATTTTAAAAAAAGAAAAGAAAAGAAATTAAACACAAAGGGGGAGACTCTAACAAAAAGAAAAAGTCATGACAATGATAAGTCAATATGTATCAGTTATAACCATCAATGTTAATGGTCTCATTCACCAATCAAAAGAAACACACTGGCAGAATGGGTCAAGAAGCAAGATCCAAAAATATGCTGCATACAAGAAACACACTTAACTCAAAAAGAAACTCACAGACTGAAAGTTAAAGGGTGGAAAACAATACTCCATGCAACAGGAACCTGAAAAGAAGCAGGAGTAGCTATCCTCTTTGCAGATCAAGTGGATTTCAAACCAACACTGATTGAGAGACACAGAAGGACACTACATCCTTGTAAAGGAAACAATTGAAGAGGAAGAGATGACAATCATAAACATATATGCACAAAACACTAGTGCATCCAACTATATAAAACAAATACTAATGGACATGAAAAATCAATTAAGCACTAATACAATAGTAGTGGGGGACCTCAATACCACACTGTCACAAATAGATAGATGAACTAGACAAAAAATAAGCAACGAAATACTAGAACCCAATTAAACTCTTGAACAAATGAACTTAACAGATGTTTACAAAGTGTTCCACCCCACAAAATCAGAATACACATTCTTTTCAGCTGCACACAGGTTGTTCTCCAAAACAGACCACATACTTGCTCA